TATTCCCGTAAAACATTGTAAATCGAAGCGCAACACACTCCAATTTTATCGGAAACTTTCTATACGACTTCGTTGACAGTCGATGTTTTCTTCCATCTCTTTATTGAACACATTTAAAATCACTCTTTTCATCTCAACACTCAAATGTCTTTTTTTGGATCGTTTCCTGGCTGGACTCAGAGGATAGCTCACAGTGTCATCAGCAGTGTCTGAACTGGACATCTTGGAAAACAATTTTAAATAATATACTATAACGCACGCCACACAAACACGCAAACGACTGATTAAAACCCTGTGCTGGTACCGAACTCATACCAAGAAGGCGAATTCACCAATGGACGCTGCCCTTTCCATCTGATACTGGGCGATCACGTGAACATCACGCTTCGGTTTTGTTTTCTTTTACTCTATCTTGGATTTGGATAGACTTTAGATTATGAGAGATTGATGATATAGTAGCCATAGGCTAGTTATAATCTATCAGATGAATCTTTTGAGTTTCTGCTGACAAAACCAAGTGATTGTAAGCTTTCAGTAACGATAGATCTCTTTTATGAAAAACAACTGAATATGGAGAATTCCAAGGTCACGTCCTTCTGCTGTCCTTTCCAAATTTTGAAATCAATGATACATTCATAAACTACATAATTTTTTAGATTCAAAATCATGCAGAGCCACAGTACCGTCCCAACTTATAGCAATCACTGAGATTAGCAATGTTATTGAGAGTTGATCGTATTTTGATATCTTCATGTTTTTTTTTCAGGATATTAGGAATAATATTCCTGATTTTTGGATTCCTCACTCTCATCGGAAGCTTGATTTACTGCGTTATTATCTGCAAAGATGTGAAACGACCGGGAGATGTGAATCCTGACGATCTCTACTGGACTCATCACTGGCAAAAAAATATTGGATCTTCGGAAATTCACTACAAAGCCGAGGAAAAGTATGGGGATGATAGATACAGCGATCGATATTCAGTCAGTAAACTCTCAGGAAAATACTCTGATCGGAATGGAAGATACTGAATACGAACAGTAATTAAATCTAACATTCTCCCCCATTTTGAAATTAAAATAAAAAACTGAAGAGAAATTTCAAAATAACATTATAAATTTCACTCCAAACCATAACCATGCGGAGCTCTGACTATTCGCCCATTTCTTGTGACTATCTCTTCAGTTTTTTCTTTGATGTCCTTCTCTTCTGTTATGTAGTCCTCATCAGTTTTACCTTTGACTTCATTCATTTTCTTTTCAATTTGAAGAAAATTCTTACTGTCCTCTCCTGTCGTAACTTCTAAAGGATGTGAACGCTGAAACGGTCGAATAAGTTGCCCACTGTTCACTTTTATTTTCGCTACCCTGGGTACGACATCTTTTCCACGATAAACTTCCAATACTTTTCCTATAGGCCAGTTTATTCGCTTGACATTGTCGCTGCTGACAAGAACAACATCCCCAATTTTCAAATTACCTATTTTCCTTTGACCGATATGTACGAGTTCCGCTAGATAGTAGAAATATAAAGGCCTTGCATTAATTATGGCTTCACAATCGCATAAAGTCGTCCTCAATTCTTCATATGTTGAAGTTGCTTTCTCAAGTTTCTACGAAGTAATTCCTTAATAACTCTGACCATGCGTTCCCACCAACCGCCCCATCACGCGGCTATTGGAGGATTTCGACGTACGGGTGATGGTCGATCGTTTATTGAATCAGTAGACTCAAATTCATCCACCACATTGCAAATAGTCCTCTCGGTAGGACGATCATGGCAACCATTAAATGGGCAAAGCGCGCGGAACGTTGCCCGAACAGAATAAAAATTTTGATAAAACAATTTTATCATTTGTACGTTTTGTTAAATGCTTTATCCGTCCATGGCGATTTGGCAGAACAGATTCAATAAACGACAACTAGTTTGACAGATGAAGCTTCAACAAGATAGCTATTATCAATTGTCAAAGTTTGGAGAAGAGATTATATCTGCTGAAACAGGTATATTTTGAAAAAACTCTGATTGTGATTCCAAAATCTACCAGTTTTACTAGAAAAATAAAAAATTGTTATGGTTCCCAAAAAATTTTTTGAAAATCTGAAAAACTTGATCATTAACTATTACGAGCAATTCACGGAAAATATAAGAATCTACTATAGTTATAGGAAGACCCTGTTATAGTAAATTGCTGTAGTTCAATGTTCGCCGTTCTTTCAATAATTTCATTAATTCAATCATCAATAAAAATTTTTCATACGCAGAAAGTGACTGATATGCTATTTAGAATCGACTAGTTTTTGTATTTTATATCAATAAATAATAAGCTTAATCCTCTTGAGAATATTGTCAAATAAATGTAAATATTTCAGATTGAAAGAAAAGCTCCATTCTTTGCAAGCAAGTTTGAAACGTGTAACATTAGTTCACTGCCCTTGAGAACCTACATTAGTCTTTAAAAAGTGAAAATACTTAAAAAATATGGTAGTCGCGATTTTGTAAACTATCAAGTGAAAATCCCACTTCAAAGTGTGTTTTTTGAACACGTGGAAATATTTGCAAACGATTTCGAGTTCACTTGTCAAGGATGGATCCTCCAGTTCTCCTCAGACTTTTCTATGTATTATCACAATCTAAACGATACCGTCGTTTTGTTAATGGCAGTGAATCAGTTTAGGATTTTGAAACTCGTGGAAATCAAAGATATGTTTTCTGCTCCACTATTCTTGACCCTTTCCAATGAAAATGTCTTTAAAAGTTGTCACATTCCAAACGACAATATCGTTAATAAAATAACATTTTAAAATGTGGCTCTTGTTTAAAATTCGAGCTGTCAATGATAGATCCCATCCTATTGTTGAACTGTATATTAAATTTGACTCGATGTGGTACATTGTACAGCTCATTTTGAAAATTCTGTAGATCATGTTCATTTTGAAGGTTTGCTGAGAGAGCAAATCTAACGAATTATCATTTCTTTATTTTTGAAGAAATGCGTTCGTATTGGTGGATAGAATATTTATGTTTCATATCTGTATATTCGTCCATTTCTAAGACGATCAAATCATCACTTTTTTCCTAATGAAAATTGTGAAATGACGAATATTACTTGGTATGAGTAGGTACACTGCATGTGATATTCTTCATAACAAATGTTAATGCAACATTAGTATGTCTCAAATTATCAACCAATGTCGAGTTCTGGGTTGGGAGCCAAAATTACATCCTCTGTAATAGTTTTGCATTACTTCATATCCATCCAGTTCGAGATAAATTCATAAACGTTTTCGTATCTGGACGTTCATTTTTCGGGCAATAATTGATCTGTAGTAGCAGCTGCTGCTTTGAAAATATCATATGACACATTTCCAAACTCATTATCGCTGCTGCTATCGATAGTTTATTTCGTTAATTGCGAAACAAAAAATATGAGAAACTTTCAAAGAAAGGAAAATATAACCTTTTGGAACAACTAGATTCATATTAACATTGAATTATAAGAAAATCACTTTTCCCTATTCAGTTTGTATGAAATTGAAAAGAATTTATTCTTAGGAACACTGTACAATGTATTATCTAGGTATTTATAATATATCAAATCAGTGATTTGTGTTATTGTATTAGCATAATTTTAAAGGAAATCATATCGAGAAGCAATCTATGTCACTGAGACTGATATTTGAATGAAGTTTTCAAAAAGTTGTCTCATCTCAATACTACAAATATCTCTCAGTTTCAACACCATAACAGCTAGCATTTCGAAGAGTTGTGCAGCTCCATTTCATGGAGAGGTAACACATCTTGCAAATGCCAGCTCAAGCCACAGCTTTCAACATGAAAACAATTACGAATCAGTTATAAAAAATGTTTATTCGCTCTCCTAAAAGAAACAGAATTTTCTCTTATCATAAGTAGGTCTTAAAAAGGTTGATTAAAAAAAAGTATCAAATTACGTCGTCTTCTAGCCAACAACAAATCCACATTTGGCACATTTCTTTCTTCTCATACAGCAACAGCAAATAATTCCACATGGAAAACAGAAAATGGCCAGCAACCAAGCACAGCATGAGTATGTTCCTGTCCAGCTATTATTATGGCACACTGGACAGCCCCCTGGAGTGGACACAAAAACATCTGAAAAATAATAAAAGTAAATAAATCATAAATATGAAAAAGTTGGGAATATGAGTGTTATTATTGAACTCTCATGAAGAACTGAATCATATAGTTTCAGTAATAATGAATTGTATTTGACACATCAGTGCCATATCCGTGGGTTGGGCTACCCATCGGGCGCGTCCTCAGGTGGCGGATAGGGGAACGGCTAGGGGACTGGGGGCCCTGTCCGCAAAGCCAATATGTGGCCTTACGGAGGGGATCGCCGGACTCCTGGTCAGTGGCAGAAATAAGTAGGGTGAGGGGAACTAAAACTCCCCAAAAGCCTTTGCGAAACATGCCACCGTGGACCAGCCTACCCAAGGTAAGTTGTAAGGAATCATGCCGACAGCTAAATGGCTGTAATCGGTTACGAACGATTCTTTTGGGGAACCGAGCAAAACCTCATTGTAATCAGCCTTTCTCTGGTAATACGAGGCTCTGCCAGAGGTGACCAACTCTTCCCTTGCTACTCGTGGGAACTGACATATATGAAACAAACAAACAGACAACAAAAACCAATCTCGAGGCTGGACAGAAGTGCCCACCTCAATCTATGGCGGTGGCTGGGGATGAATCTACCGCTCGAAATGAGGCTGGACATAGCAGATCACCTCGTGATGTAATACAAAGCCGGGCATTTGCGGCGCCGCGGCCAAAACGAGAAAGGGAGTGAAAGAGGTAGGAGTGGCAGCAACTATAATTGCAGCCTCCTCCTCCCCCACTCCATCTTCAACAGCAAGGGCACTTCCTGCGGCGGGCGCCAATATCTACGCCTTGAATAAAGACAAGGAACCGGCTGCTCCTGCAGGAAAGCGCCTTCGCTTGAACACCTCATATAGGGGAACCTCAGGAAGGTTGAAGAAGCCGCGCAAAGACAGTAAGGTCGCTGCATCTTCCATAACCGTCGCGGAGGCTAAGTTTATAGCAGGACCGATATCCCACATATTTAATAGAGCAGTAGAAATCGGCTACTTTCCATTGTGCTTGAAAACTTCCATAGTTACTCCTGTTTTCAAGAGTGGATGTAGAGATGAGGTAGTTAACTATAGACCGGTATCTTTAATATCAAATCTCAGTATAATTCTAGAAAAAATGATCAAAGTAAGGTTAGACTCATTCATACAAAAACATATGACATTATTTGACTCACAGTTTGGTTTTCGGATAGGAAACTCCACCGAAAATGTTGTATTACAGCTTACTAATTACGTTTACGAAGCACTTGATAGAGGCAAACCATCACTAGAGATTTTTATTGATCTATCAAAAGCATTTGATACAGTTAATCACTCCATTCTACTATGCACTCTGGAAAATATTGGAATAAGAGGTAATGCATATAAATTGATAGAGACATATCTCACGGGTAGAAAACAGATTGTGCAAATAAGGAATATGAAAAGCGGTGAGAAGAAAATTTAATGCGGAGTGCCGCAAGGAACTGTTTTGGGTCCGTTTTTTTTTAATATTTATGTGAACGGACTGTTTTCGATTGGAACCGCAGGACGCATAAATTTTGCAGACGATACTGTCATTCTATACTCTGAGCAAGCTTGGTCTGAGGTCAAAGACTTGACAGAGAAAGATCTAGAAAAAATCAAAGATTGATTCGACCATAAACATCTTTCATTGAACTTCGATAAAACCTATTACTTGCCATTTTCTGATAATAAAGCTACACCTCCTCAATTCAATCAAATAACTATCCGAAACTCCTTCAAGATATCCCCAGCTAACCATATAAAGTATTTAGGGGTTCTCATAGATCCTCACCTGAAATGGGACTTTCATATCAAGCACACTGTAAACAAATTGCGATGTATATTGTACAAATTTCGTCAACTGAAATTTATACTCAACATTGAACAAAAAAATATAATTTAATTCAGTTTGGTTCAAAGCCATTTGATATACTGCATTATAGGATGGGGTGGGGTATCCAAATCACATCTTCGCCCACTGGAAGTCGTCCCAGTGATATGCTATCCCCGTTATCCCAGTGATATGCTATATTAACAATCAGGAGTATTCGATCCTAGACAGCTGTTTTACAAGTCACTGGTATACATTCATATAGAATGTTTTCAGAACATTGAAATGCTTGATTCAAATTTAGCACTGATGCAACGTGAATCAAAATATTGTTTCCGTATTTCATGTACTTGAGAATCCCGAATTAGATTTGCCAGAATGAGAATGAAATAATTATTGTTATCAGTGAGTGGTATTAACGTAATGCTAAAAATGAAGCGACACATGATCTCATCAACCATATCTCTGTTACTCAAGTCGCAGTGTTGAAGATGACTAAATACCGATAAAGACGAAAGTTTATATACTTAATCAGCAAGTATATTGACTGAATCAAATTGAAGCTAATCCGAGACAGTTTCCAATGTTATACGTCATTTGTTTGGAAGTGATACTGAATGTATCTTGCTGAATATTGGAGGTGACAGACGCAGTTGGTTGCCCAAATGAGGTCACAAAATGTCACCACTGGGTCTCGCCTGCTTTGATACCTACATTTCAAAATTCTGCTATAATGAGAATAGTCTGCTGAAGTGGCTGATTCACATATTTCGTCGGTGTCAAATGAAAAAGTCCATTCCATTTCCTTTTCCCTTATGAATTTAGGAACCCTGAGACATAGGTGTGTTCCGTGGAGTAGGTCCCCAGAGAAATGTCTGGCATGATTGATGCCTCAACTAACGTATTTAAAAAACACTTTGTGAGATTTTCACTAAACAATTTTACAAAGACGCAACACGCGTTTGGCTTCTTCCGTTGTGTCTTTATTAACAATATTCTATATAGTCAATGCTTAATATATCTGTTTTATCATCAGAAGTACCTACATTTCAAGTACCCGATTTTTACCTAAGTTTGTAATGAATTAAATTACCTGTGCTAATGTCCCAGTTTCCACATTTGAAAAATATTTAGTAACGAGGAGTTATTCAATTCTAATTGATCATTCAGTAAATTACCCTTATACCTGGATCTATTGATTTCTTAACATTCTAGACGATTGAGTTTCAAACTTATCTCTTCTAAATGTAACACGTCGTATTCATAATTGAACTCATGTCCTTCTGCTGAAAGGTTTTTTTGCAAATATGAATGTGGTCTTTCTATTTACAAAACTAATTCCATGATCTTTAATTCTTTGGGAAAATGTTCTCCCTGTTTGGCCAATATACAGTTTTGAGCAAGAGCTACAAGTCAGCTCACATACTCCTGCCTTAACAAATAAATAGAACGTATTTTTTACTTACTGGTATTTTCTGGCATTTTGACTGTTAGATTGGTGATCTGCAAAAGAAATAATTTTATTGTTAAAACTCACTTCATTTGAGATTTTACTTATTCGTTAATAATAATATTTCATGACTAATGCGAGTACGTTATAAATTTCTTCCGAAACAAAATATGCAGAGTTTTTATTTATATGAATTCTTGATTTATAATGTTTCGAAATTGAAACTGATTCAGAAATGTGGATTATTATGGAAATGTATATCTGAATAAAACATGTTTATACAAGGTGTTACTTAAGAATGTACCATAAATTTAACAGACTATTCTTTAGGTAATTTTGAGACGGAATGTTCATATGAACATTTCGTGTGTGTGACAAACACTCAGCGCACTCTGCCGGATGAGTTTCTCGTAATCATCCCCATTGTATGCGGAGAGATTGGAAGAATCCAACCTCATACAAAACAATAAAAATATTCTCGGACGGTCAAGCGGCATTGGAAGCTCTTGGCTCCTACCGAGCAATCTCTAAATTGGTAGCCAACTGCAAAAAACGACTCTCCTCGATAGGAAGACTCAACAGATTGTCCCTGGCCTGGATTCCTGGCCTAGAAGGCCAGGATGTCTAACAGATCTTTTCACAGGTCACTGTCATCGACAGAGTTTGGCAGAGCCGTACTCTTACCCTCTGACCTAAAAGACTACTCACCATTTACACTAGTCTGCTTCATTTAGAAGCTAAGTTTATTTGGTCGAGTGTGAATGGGTGTGAGCCACAATAAAACCTTGCGGGTTGCGGTGGAGGGTCGAATTGACCCATTCACTTTTTTCCTAGCATAACCTAACTACCTAATGGCAATCTTACTGAACAAAATATTTCAGGTTCGTTTCCATTTCATGCAAACCACGACATATACATATATTGTCACAGCTCCCAAAATTAAATATTAACAATTTGGATTATTTTGTCATATAATATATTCATTAGATTGGCTAGTGATATTGACTGGTATGATATGCTCAGTGGCACATATTTTCAACGAATTATTTCAGTATACATTTTGCTCTATGATATAGATATAGATTATATAACTTTGATGAAATTTTCAGACAAAAAGTAATTTTTTATCACTATACTCATCATGTATTCAAGTGAGTGGCTTATAGATAGGTACCATACTTGATGAGCTCAAGTTATAAATCAAATGCTATACTATTGTTGGTATGGTTGACTCTTTTAAGTAAACGCACTATTTTGATGAAGACATTATTGAAAATTTGTTGAAATGGAAATACTAAAATATCGTTTACTTTCAACTCTACCCTAGATTGCATATGAGTATTATGATAGCAGATAATTACGTGATGGAAATTGATATGGAAAAAGGTGTAACTATTTCATCTTCATCTTTTTGAAGTCAAAATTCTATATGAAAAAACAAAATAATTGCTTTTAAGAGTCAACTGACTGACTGAAAAAAAAATGAGAAATTTCACCCCAAAACTGTTTCAACAAAGTACTTACCTCTGATTTGATTTATTTCACTATAACTTTTCCTAGACGAAACGCTTGACTAACACACCTTGAGATCACTAAATGGATACCGACTATTTCACAACTCATGAACGATAAGAACTCATTCTGTAATTGTTTATTTAATAAACCAGAACCGGCTTTCCCAAATCGCGCCTTGAAATCTGAGGTGAACACGTTTTTGAAATTATTGAGCTTAGAGTTTTCCTGTAAACAATGTATGATGTCGTTTTAATTTGTAGCTTGGAGATTACCTGTAAACAATAAAAGCACCAACACACACATTGGGTCATCAGTTAAATATTGATTTTTTAGGTAGTTTGAAATAAATCTGAGGTAAGGCGGCCCTGGAACGTATGATGTATTTATGAATTTTTGAAAAATTTCTGAGAATCTGTTTAACTTAAAGATGTTGGTGATGATCTACTAGTCAGGTAAATCTGATAACTGAAAATATTATTTCAACAAGCTATGCAGGCTGTTTCTTTTATCAAATGGTAACATTGCTATATTCTAAACCATAACAGATACGAAGACGATTAAATGGGAAAAAGGTAACTGTCATCGGGAACAATACAATGATCGAAGAAAATTCACGGGTACTCTCACCCTTCTCGAGTTATACGGCTAAAAAAAAAAATGCTATTTTTCGTTTTTTTCGAGTGGAATTGTTATTCCGGAGAATATTAAAAAATGGAAAGAGAAAATGTTATTGTATTCGATGTGAATTATGACGATGTGATAATGAATATTCGATAAAACGTTTCGTGTCAACATGGCCACCGTCAACTTTTTTAAATACGGACCTGTCTTTTTTATTACAGATATTGATAAAGCGATACATTCACAATCCAAGGGTATATCACATTTAATATTTTTATGGCGTTTCATGTGAAATAACCACCATCATCAGTGACAACGATCAAACAGAAAAACAATTTATTTTATCATAAACTTTTGGAAAAATTGAAACCAATACGGAAAATCAAAGCTACATGGCAATCTGCATTAAATGCTCCAATTGACGACCTCTTTGTTGAATGCACATAAGTTGTCGGTCCAGACAATTTCTGTAGCAGTTTTCTGGCATAATAGGTGTAATAATAATACATGCATCTCTATTTTTTTTTGAGATGGTCGATATTTGTACTTGGTGTTGAAAAAACTTTATCCTTTATGTATCCCCAGACAAAAAAATCTAAAGGAGTGAGATCTGGAGATGGAGCTGGCCGGTTAATTGGTCCATTGTTTCCAATTCATTTTCTTGGAAATATTGCATCTAAATGTTAAACTATTGCTGCATTAAGGGAAGAAGCGCCGTTCTATTGAAAATATTGCATTTCATAGCGGATATTCAGTGGCGATTCATCTAAATAGCCATCCAAGACATTGAATAGAAAGTGAAGATACATTTCACTATTCAAATGATCATCGTAAAACAAAGGGGCAAGGATGTTTGTTTCCACAATTCCCAACCAAACATTTATTCCGAATCTTTCTTGGAAATTGGTTTTCTTATGTAGGTAAATGTTCATTAGTATTATTACACATATGATGGATATTTCTGTTAAACCAGCCATTGTTGGTGAAAGGACCTTTCGTGAAGCGCTTTCTATCTTCAAATTCAAGTAAAACATTAATGCCATTATGTGTGGAATACAACATTGTTCAAATGTCCGCCACGGCTTCTCTGGGTGGAGTTATGTTGGCTTTGAGGACCGCTGTGGTTTGTGGCTCATTCGCATACACCTGCGACTTGAGAAACCCCCACATGAAAAAGTCGACTGGGGTCAAATCGCACGATCTCGGTGGCCAGTCCATATCACCTCCACTTGAGATGACCATGCCCTCAAATCACTCGTGCAGAATATCCAATGTGGTATGAGCTGTGGCACATAGCGCCGTCCTGTCTTTGGTCGTCAAGATCATTCAACTCAAGCCAAAAAAAGTTGGTAATCATCGATCTATAGTGCTCGCCGTTGACAGTGATGACCTGGCCAACGTCGTTTTCAAAGAAATGATGACGTCATAAGCCCAAAATCCACACCAAACCGTGTCTTTTTTTGTTTACCTACCCTTTTGAATATGGGATGGATATAATTATATTATCAAATAAAGTCTTACTGACGTTCATAAATTCTATTTATTTGACAACTCTAATCAAAATCTTCTCACTAACAAATTTGATTCAACTAAAAATATTATCACACATCACATCACAAACATGCATCACATAAACTAAATAAAATCTATATACAGGGGGAATGATAAAAACATACATTCTCAATCTAGCATTCTCCCCCATTTTGAAATCGAAATAAAAAACTAAAGAGAAATTTCAAAATAACAATATAAATTTCACTCGAAACCATAACGATGCGGAGCTTCTTGTGACTTTCTCTTCAGTTTTCTCTTTGATGTCCTGCTCTTCTGTTATGTAGTCCTCATCAGTTTTANTATTTGCAAACGATTTCGAGTTCACTTGTCAAGGATGGATCCTCCAGTTCTCCTCAGACTTTTCTATGTATTATCACAATCTAAACGATACCGTCGTTTTGTTAATGGCAGTGAATCAGTTTAGGATTTTGAAACTCGTGGAAATCAAAGATATGTTTTCTGCTCCACTATTCTTGACCCTTTCCAATGAAAATGTCTTTAAAAGTTGTCACATTCCAAACGACAATATCGTTAATAAAATAACATTTTAAAATGTGGCTCTTGTTTAAAATTCGAGCTGTCAATGATAGATCCCATCCTATTGTTGAACTGTATATTAAATTTGACTCGATGTGGTACATTGTACAGCTCATTTTGAAAATTCTGTAGATCATGTTCATTTTGAAGGTTTGCTGAGAGAGCAAATCTAACGAATTATCATTTCTTTATTTTTGAAGAAATGCGTTCGTATTGGTGGATAGAATATTTATGTTTCATATCTGTATATTCGTCCATTTCTAAGACGATCAAATCATCACTTTTTTCCTAATGAAAATTGTGAAATGACGAATATTACTTGGTATGAGTAGGTACACTGCATGTGATATTCTTCATAACAAATGTTAATGCAACATTAGTTCAGACGTAAATTATTTAACAATTCATTTGAAATTTTTTATGTTATTTTTAAATTGTATATATTTTTAATAAATGTTTTATAACAACATGAATAGTCTTTAATACCTATATATTCAATAGCAACTATCTTTGACTGTAGCCTACGTATACATGGAATGGTTTCAAATAGTAGCCGTTGAAGAAGTTCAAAAGTAGTCCCAAATCTAGTTGACGATACGTGAATTCTTTACAGCTGTTTAACTCTTGTGGTGGTGATTTATTATACAGCAATATCATAGGAAAGTTGATAAGAAACTGGATTGGACCACTCAACATGAACAGGACTGAAAAAAATAAAAAGAAAGTTGTAATTCATAAATAGAAATATCTTTCAGGAATGTCAACAATTTGATGAGAAAAATCAGAATTGAAAGTATTTTATTGAATGATTTTTGGACATTTTTGAACAAACTAGGGATTTCAGTTGATGAAATG